AGCGATCTGAGTCATAACTTCTTCCCGATGTGTTGATATCTGGGTCAATACCTCTTCTCGTTGGGCTGATATCTGGGAGGCGATCTGATCTCGCTGAGCAGGAAAACGTGCCAGCACTTCTTCTTGCTGAGTGATCATCTGAGCTAATACCTCGTCTCGTTGGTCTGCGATTTGAAAGGCTATCTGATCTTGCTGAGCTGAGATTTTCTCCTGCTGAGCACGCATCTGATCCGCGATGTCCTGTCGCTGAGCCGCAATCTGATCCGTGATCTTCTCTTGCTGAGCCAACATCTGGTCCGCAATGTTCTGTTGCTGAGCCACTATCTGTTCCGAGATCCCAGCCAACATCGATTCCGCTGAAGCTGGTTCCTCGAAGGTGATCGTCTCTGGATCTTGACCCGCACTCACCATATACTATTTGAGACGATGCTGAAGTGTAGCCTTGATTTCTGTTGTGTCGAGATCTCTTTCCTTCAACTCGCTTTTCAAGCCCACCACTTTCAACTCGTGTAGTTTCTTCATCACAACGGTCTGTTCACTTCAGACTGGAACATATCCCACTCCTGACACCAATTGTTACGTTATTCGGGTGCAGAAGCGAACACGACACTGTCTCTTTTCGAACTGATTCATTCAAACTGAAGAAACACTAATTTATAACGAACTTATAACTACTATTTATGTGAAACGATTTATATCACGCGGTATATAACTGTCTCTCTGACACTCGCTGCTCGACTGACTGACTGACTGCAGTTGTTCGGCCGTTTATATATATGGAAACACATGGCAGGCTTTGGTTCGAGAACGTTCTCGAATAATCTCCCGTCTCCTTCTTTTTGTTCTAGAAGCTTCTTCGAACAAAACCTCTCTCTAAAATTCTTCCATCGATTGTTTCCAGAACATTCCAGAATCTTCTGTGACGTTATTTGTCACTGCGGCATATATTGAGTGTTCGGAAATATGCTGGTGTATGTAAGAATCATTGAGAGGTTGGAGAGCAATCTGGGATGCGTGATACAGGATGATCGTTGTACTCCTGCTTTCCTGCTGATGTTTTTAAAGCCCCTCTAAGGGAAATATCATAACAATATGATACATATTCGGAGTACTCTGGTTCCTCTACTGGTCTTCATAAACCTTGTCGAATATGGTGGTAATAAATAGGTCTAAAACTTGATATGGCTTTATTTATCTACATGTGTTATCACTGACATTCAAGGAGATATATTCGTATCACTATTGCAGGATTAGATTCTTGATAATATTTTGAGTATCAAAGACTGGAACCTTTGGCACGATAATACACCACACTGTTTTACCACTAACCAAACCAATTTTTTAACGCCTCGACACGTGTTTCTCTAACTATGTTAGCATCTTTCGGAGAAGATTGTAACTAAATATCCTATTCTAGTGTGCTGCTTATATACTAGGTATATGTTCACCCAACTGTGAAAAATACTAACCGTCAAGTTAATGTTTGTCATGGTTGAGTTCACATGTTAATCTTAATTTTTATTTCACTCAACTATATAGAGGGCTATATGGAATAGGTCCATTATCCTTATTCATTACCCTATTACTATTCTCAAATATCTCCAATCTTTCATATGCGTCTAGTTTTCAAATGTTATTAACTTGCTTAACTAATTTGAGGTTAGTAATATGTGTGTTATGATTGTGATTGAACATAATATGTTCGGCTACACAAGATTTATCTAACCTGCCATATTTTAAATAAGCTATGTGTTCTTTGAACCTTGTTTTAATGGGTCGCCTGGTTTGGCCTATATATGTTTCATCACAATCATTACAACTTATTTCGTATATTCCCAACTTTTCAAGTGTGTCCTCTTTATATTTCGGATTGCCTAATGAATTGCCTAATCTTGACACAGACTGATAAACGCTTTCAAAACCTGAGTCTTTGAAAACCTTATCAAGTCCCTTCGTATACATAAACCCGGTAAAAAATGAGGCCAATTGTATCCGCAATTGGGTCTCCTACGTACAATATTTCAAAGTGGTTGGTTGAAGTTTTCAAAACTTTGAATAATCCTTATAAAAATCATTCTGTTTCAAATTCGCTTGAATTTTTCGAAAAGGTCAAAGGGTTGAATCTGACCGAAGGTACAGCAATGGAAAAATTTTTATCGCCTTTCCTAGCTGAACTGTTCATGAATCGATTTGAAGCGAATGCAAAAGAAAAATTCGAGTATTTCCCTAGGGTTTGGATTAGATATGTCGATGATATTTTTGCTATTTTTGATACAAAAACCACAGATATAGATAACTTTATTTCAAAATTGAATAACTGCTTACCCTCTATCAAATTCACTTATGAATGCGGAAATCATGGCAAATCACCTTTCTTAGATGTACTTGTGATCAAAAATAGCGAAAACAACTTAGAATTTGATGTCTTCAGAAAAGAAACTAACACATTTAGATACATACCTAATGACTTCAATCACTGTTTTCAGCACAAAATGGCAAGTTGAAATTTTCAAGTACAAAGATTGATTTCATTTCCTCTGAGCAAAGAAAGATTCAATGCTGGAAGAGGTGTTGTTTATGAAGTGGCTGGCGTCAATGGGTATGATACCAAAATAGTAGATAAATTAATACGTAGACATAAATTTAAGTTAACATTTCGAAATTCTATGACTTTTCAAGTGGATAAAAATAACTCTAGAAGAATCCCAATCAGGTTCGATCCCAAGTAAACGAAGGGACTTGATAAGGTTTTCAAAGACTTAGGTTTTGAAAGCGTTTATCAGTATGGGTCAAGATCAGGAAATTTTTTAGGCAATCCGAAAGATAAAGTGGACACACTTAAAAAGTCGGGAATATACGAAATGAGTTGTAATGATTGTGATGAAACATATATAGGCCAAACCAGGCGACCCATTAAAACAAGGTTCAAAGAACACATAGCCCATTTAAAATATGACAGGATAGATAAATCTTGTGTAGTCGAACATATGTTCAATCACAATCATAACACACATATTACTAACCTCAAATTAGTTAAGCAAGTTAATAACATTAGAAAACTAGACGCATATAAAAGCTTGGAGATATTTAAAAATAGTTATTGAGTAATGAATGAGGATAATGGACCTATTCCATATAGCCCTCTATATAGTTTAGTGAAATAAAAATTAAGATTAACATGTGAACTCAACCATGACAAACATTAACTTGACGGTTAGTATTTTTCACAATTGGGTGAACATATACCTAGTATATAAGCAGCACACTAGAATAGGATATTCAGTTTTAATATTCTACTGAAGATGCTAACATATTTAGCGAAACACGTGTCGAGACGTTGAAAAATCGGTTTGGTTAGTGGTTAAACAGTGTAGTGAACATTTTGAGTATATTCCTCACTGAATGGTTCTCTCAATTATTCAAGTAACAGTTTCTGTTTTGTTTATTGAGTGGCGCCCTCTGTACTTGTTATTAACTATCTGCAATCACGACGAATCAACCTATCTGTTCTCTGGCAAACAGCTGCCGTTGGCACATGTGTCTTATATTTTCATTTGATTCTGGTTAATATTGATCAATATGAAAAAGTAGACCACATAAATAGCGTTCAACGTGTTGAAGCCCGAAATTTCAAGTTCAGGATGAATATGGTTATGATAATAATTTCGAAAAATCAAATCCAGATTTTCAAATAATCAATGATAAATTGAGAACACTTGCTCTATTGCAGGGTCCTCTCCAATGGTCCATTCACCCCTATCAAATGTCCACTATGGTCTATATAAAGGCATGCTGAGGAAAAAGACGGAGACAGAAACAAAGACAGAAGGGGAAGTTGGACATCCACAGTCCACAGCAGGGCTCAGTGGTGTGGCTCAGCCGATCAGCTTGATATGTTTCTACTAGGCTCCATCCAGGCCACTTGTCGACTCTTATCAGGATGGAATGAGCAAACTGGTCCTTGTGGAAATCATGACCAAGATCGAGAGATTATATCCCGAGCTGTTCGATTCTAGAAACCGAGGGCAGTTAGGCCATTTCCTAGCATCCTGTTGAAAAAAATTGACAGGTTGATATAACCTCCTGACAGACACGTGCAGAACAGAAGAAACTGATATAGGAGAAAATATTCCTTACCAGTTGATAGTCATTGCACTGCGTATGACTTACCTTCTGAGAAGGGAGGAAGGACTTGAAGAACTATCAGTTTGTAATCCTCATAAGCTAAAAGGGGCCAACTGGAGGGCTTTCTGAAGACATCAGGCAGTATGCAAAAAGTTGAAACCAATCCTACACAGGTTCATGGCCAGAATTCACGATGTTTTGAACAATTTTCAAGAAATACAAATCCTCCGAAGGGTTTCAACAGGTATACCGACAAAAGTGAAATTGCTCAAACTGGCTCAAGTGCACACCATGATGATTACCAGAAAAAAGCCTTGAGATAACTAGCGAATATCTTCTCCTGAAATTCCTGATTTGAGATTATCTCATTTACGCGAGTCACTTCCTGCAAAAATTCAGCGCCGAATAAGATATCCTGATATTTCATTGATCAGAAGAATGGAATTAGAATAACTTGGCTCCGACTAACGAAAGAAGGCCAAGATCAGGAGAGAAAAAAAAACGTCTGCTTCCTCTCCGGTAGTAATATGTCACAACATCGTGAGATTGTGCCTGATAGTCCTATTCACAAAAGGTTAGTGACATACCCGACAATGACGCCTGGATGACAATATTATAACCTTGGAACATAAGATTTCAGAAGACTGAATGTTCTCTGTAACCCTGACTTCTCGTTTGAATCTCAACCCCTTCGAACCTTGCGTACATCAGTATGTACACAAATTTTCATATTCTGCGAATCATAGATATAGATAGATAGATTAATTTGGATATGGAGGATATTCACAGTGTAAAGTACCTAGTATAGTATTAGAAGTAGTAGTAGTTTTTTTTTTCTTCTCTTGGAGGTGAAATCTTTTATAGACTACTTGTTCCTAGGGCACATGCTCGTGTGGGACTCCCATGCGGTCTACCCACTAAAACAACTCCAATCTTTAGAAATGATATGGGACCATCGCAAGACATTACTTCACATCATCTTCTGCACTTCCTTCTAACTGTTTCACATGTGTGATAATTTGGCTTTCTCCTCAATGCTTATTATTTTTCTTATCATACCTAAGATTTTATTCCCTGATTGTTCACCCTTCATCATACATTCAATCAAGGTATCTGATGTCAGTATTCCTACTCCCATTTCCGTTCTCATTCTGAGATTTTGCTATCTCTCGCAGTCAAAGATAGTATGGGCTACAGTATCCTCCCTTCCACAGTACCAGCATGCGTCGTCCTGAGTGACTCCTATCCTTTTGAAGTATACTTGGAAACATCCATGATCACTCAATACCTGGGTCATGTGGTAGTCCACTTCCCCATATTTTTTGTCACACCAAATTCTCACATCTCTTTTCTGTTTTCTTCCCATCTCCTTTGCCATATAGTTATCATTCCCTGTGTAATTGCCTTCCTATTTGCTCCCTCTTTGAATGTCCGTGTCCTCTCCTCCACTAACAAGTCTATTGGTAGTGTATTCGAGATGACTCCTACTGCTTCCGTTGTATCCACTACATATTCTCAGCATCATCCCCCTTTTGAACCTTCTCTAGGGCTTTGACATTTCTCTTCACCTTCAGTGCCTCTTTCCATACTGGCGCAGCATACAAAAGAATAGAATGCACCACTGAGCTTAGTACTCTCCTTCTGCTCGATCAGGGTCCTCCTATATTTGGCATTATCTCGACAAGTGCCATAGCTGTTCTTTCAGCTTTTATTGCCACTATTTGAATATGGTCTCTCATGTTCATATTCCTTCCAAACCAAACTCCCAGATATTTGATGTTGTCTTGGGATTCCATGTAGTCTTCATCCAGTTCTATTCCTTTACTGCGTGGTATTCTCTTTTTGCTAAGCAGGACAATTTTTGTCTTGTGTATAGCCAGTCTCAGTTTCTTCCTCCTCATCCACCTTGCTTTCCTGTCCATTCCTTCCCCAATATACGTTTCTATCTCATCTTCCGTTTTTGCAACTATCACCATCGCGAGGTCATCTGCAGAGCCCACCAGAGTTGTTCCTTCTGGCATATCAATTCCAAGAACTGCATCCTAATAAATGTTCCAAAGCACCGGTCCCAGCACATATTCCTGTGGTACTCCACATGTGATTCTGTATCTGTCGTTTCCATCAAGCTCCAGATACCTTATTCTCAGGTAGCTCTGGACTATTCTTACAATATAGTACGGAAATTGACGTCTTTTCAATTCTTCTATTATACCTTTCCATGGAACAGAATTGAAAGCATTTTCCACGTCAAGGGTAACTAGTGCACAATATTCTCTCCTCCATTTTGGTTGATTATTTATTTCTTCCGCCTTCTGTCTCACTATTTTCATTGCATCAATTGTGGATCTACCTTTTCTGAATCCGAACTGTAGGTCTAATAACCCCATTCCTCTTTCTAGCGTGATGTTAATCCGATCAACAATAAGATTTTCAATCAGCTTTCCAAGGCAGCTGGTAAGGCAGAGTGGTCTATGTGACTTATCTTGCTGCTCGCTTTTTCTTTCTTTCTCAAGAAGTATTAGCCTAGCCACTTTCCATTCATTTGGGAACTCTCCCTCTCTTATTATATTGTTCGCAATATGCAACATGAAGTCTGAGTATCGTTCCACTATGGCTCTTACAATCTCTGCAGTGAAGCCATCTGGTCCTAGTGCTCTCTTATTCTTCAGTTTTCCTGCAGCTTTCTGTAGCTCATCTGTAGTGAATACAGGTATTTCTTCTACATTAATATCATATTGTTCCCAGGTTTCTATTTCATTTTCAGGAAATAGTTTTTTCATCACTCTGTTCCTCTCCTCCTTAGTCATCTCTGCTGGGTGTGCAGTTCCTACTTTCTTCGTTACTATCTTATACAGTCGACCGTATTTATCACCGTCGACTTCTTCACAGAGCTGTTTCCAAGACTCATTTTTAGCTTCTTTTATTTGCTTTTCCAGTTCTCTCTTCGTGCTTCCTGATATTTCTGTCTCAGTATTTCCCTAGTTTCCCCATTTGTGTTGGATCCATTCCACCGAGCTAGTCTCCTCTTTTTACCTAGACACACTGTTCTCTGTTCTGCTATGTCCTCTGTCCACCAAATTACCGGTTTCCTTTTATTTTTCCCTTTATCTTTCTTGGTGAATGTTTTGTTACATGCTTCTTTTAAGATATTTACGAGAGTCTCTGCTCTACAGTTGTCACTCATGTTTCGTGGTAATTCCACTCCCACTTCGTCCAGGAATTTCTCCATCTTCCTATTGTTGATCTGCCATTTTTGTCCCGTGTTCGAGTTTGTATAGGTTCTCCTTATCTGGTCCACTTTATAGGTGATATATTGATGGTAGCTATAATTTTCTTCATCCCTTACCTGCCATTCTCTTATCCAGTTGGAGTTCTTTTCAGAAGTAATCGTTAAGTCTATTATGCTGTTACTTTCTTCTCTCACAAACGTTGGTGAGCATCCTATGTTTTGGATAACAAGGTTCCTTTCTGCAATCCATTTCGCGAGTTCGATTCCTCTACGGTCCTCTGTGGCACTTCCTCATGCCCTTGCCTTTGCATTGAAGTCTCCTCCGATGAGAATTTCCTTGCTTTGGCTTTTTATGCTATCACTGAGTGCTCCTATTATTTCCCTATAGTGCTTATATTGTATATTTGGCGAGATGTATACTGAGTACATGAACATATCTTTGAGTTCCACCCATATAAATCCTCTTCCTTCCCCCGTATTCATTATCCTGTATTCCTTACTGAATATTTCAATTGCCACCTCTGGGGTTCTGTTTTTTATCCAAAGTGTCTTGCTCATCATATTCATATCTGGTTCCTGCACTAATGCAATGTCCACCTTCATTTTCTTCATTGTTTTGTACAAGAGGTCTACTGCAGCCCTACTTCTATCTACGTTCACTTGTATTATGCTCAAGCTATCTACCATCACTGCTGAGTATCACTTCGTTCAGTGTCTATTTTTGTTGATTCATGTCCGTATTCACTCTCATTCCTCTTTTTTCTTCCAATTTCCTAACCTCTTGTCTATATATTTCACACTTCATTCTTCCCGCTATGTGTCCTTCGATTTTGCAGTCATGGCACTTAGCTGCATTTTCACATTGTTTCACATAATGTCCCTTCTCCCCACAACGCAGAAATATTCCTGTCATATCTTCTCTAGTCTCCTTACAGTCTCTCGTCGTATGACCATATTTCCAGCATCTCGAGCATCTCTCTGGTACAAGTAGTTCGTGAACTCTGCATGTTGCCCACTCTATTCTCATCTTCTTCCTCTGAAGTAGCTTAACAGCGCAGTGTTTGTTCATACTCACAGTAGCTACTAGATTCCCTCCTTTTCTATTCTCATTCAATGTGTGGACCTTCGTATCATTTCCTTCTTTATGGTTTTGAATTGAGTCTTCTATGGCTTTTTCTATCTGTTCTTTGGTTGTTGTTACTCCTTTATCTCTTATAACAAGGACAGTTTTATCAACCCTCTTTTCGATTTCAGTTGCCATATCCACAAGGCTTTCTCTGGTCTTTTCTCGGAAGTTTTAAACCGCTCCCTCTTTCATTTCCTTCACTACAATTTCAATATTTCCTCTTGCCGTCTTTTTCACATTGTGTACCTTCACACCCATTTCATTTGTATCTATAGAGTATTTCATTCTCGCGACTATATCCGCATATGCGATATCAGTTCCTCCTGCCGGTTTGATGATAATCGTTTCAGGTCTTTTTCTGTTTTGTGTTTTCCATTCCTCTGTATATCTCTCCCTTTCAGCTTCCTGTTTCACCATCCTTATCTCTCCTCCTTCACTTTGGCTATGTTGTTGGTTAGTCTTCAGTAGTGTTATCGACATATCACTACCATAAAATATACATTCAATCATTTTTCTTAGCCCTTCTGCATATGTCTCATTTGTAGCTGTTATTGTGAGCTTCTTCCTTTCGTATTTTTCTGCTTTTTCCCTAATTCTTCTTATTGAGCATAGCATTTGGTTGTTATTATAATTCATCTCGTCCTCCTCCATCTCCTTTTTTCGGGTCTCTAGGTTGGCTACATAGGTATATCTCTCTGTATCATCCCCTCCCTCTTTATTTTCTTCGTCACCACACAATTCCTAGATTTCAAATAGATCACCTCGCCATAGTGTGGCGTAACTTCACAAAAAGAAATCAAAGCCTCAATGCACGGTGGCCTTTATAGTCGTAGAGCGGTCGTGGGATTTTGAGAAAATTATTTTCTATTTGTTTTTCTACAAGATGTTATCTGTAAAGCAAACTATGGGCGCCACTCAGAGTTAACTGAGAAGAATTAGGATAGGACAGAACAAAAATATCAAACTATACCTTTCGAAAACCATGCATATGATTACCTAAATGATGTTAGAAGTGCTTACACGCAGTGTGTAATAAGTCAGTGTTTAACTACAATTAATGTTAATGTAATGACTAATTGTAATGATTGAATTGAAATTCAATATAGATTACTTAAGGTTACAATGTTAGTGAAATTTGATGGGAACACCCAAAACGTCAGAATATAATGTATCAAAAAATAATTTATAAGAATACAGTTCATCAGAATGGTAATTCGTAGGTACCGTAATTGATAGTTACTGTATTCTGTAAGCACGTTTTTCATCGCTTTGTAGAACATAGCTCCGTAATTTGTAGGTATGTATTATAACAAAACGTGATTCGTCAAAATGTAATCCATCAGAATGGTATTCGATAATAACAGTATTTGATCATAACAGTAATTCATCAGAATAGTATTTCATCATCACGGTAATCTATCATAATCTAATTATATCGTTAAAATATTCTATCAGAACCGTACTACATAGGAATGCTATTCTAACAGAACCTTATTCCATAGCTCCAATAAATTATCAGTACCGTAATTCGTCGCTTCAGTAAAACATCAGAATCGTAATTCATCAAAATCGTATCGTACAGGAACTGTATTCCATCGTCACATCAATTCATCGGCACTGTATTTTATAGTTTCAGTAATTCATCGGAACCGTATTCCATCGGAACTGTATTCTATCAGAAACAAATTTCATCAAAACTGTATCCCATCAGAACCGTATTCCATCATCACCGTATTTCGTCAGAACCGTATTTCGTCAGAACCGTATTTTGTCAGTTCCATATTTCGTCAAAACCGTATTTCGTCAAAACCGTATTTAGTCAAAACCGTATTCTATCAGAATCGTATTTCATCAGTACAGCATTCTGTAAATACACTAAATATCTAATTATTACAGATAACTTCTTCACAGTTAGATGCACAGAATATTTGTGTTAGTACCGCCGAATGCATATAGGTGCTGTTCAGGGTTTGTTTGGGATGATTTTCGATTGTTTGATGAATCAAACTACTGATTGAAACAAACGCAACAAGCACATTTTCTACTAAATGGAACATTGAATATCTTCGCGATAATTCAACATATTCTGCTGCCGTGTTTTCATTCTGAAAATGAATATTTCACTATTATAAATCTAGAAAATATCGAAGAATTGCCCATGCTTCCCATTTGACGAAAAATGTTTGGGAAGTTTTCCAGTCATATTCCTATAACGCTAAAGAATATACAGGGTGATTCAGGGTTCAAGGCACAAACTGAAGTGGGAGATAGATATCATCATATTAATCACAAAAGTTCATACAAAGATTAATCCGATCTCGTTCAGTAGCGGAGCTACAGGGGGTCAAAGTTTAATTATTTTTTTTATCAATTGAAATATCTCGCTTACTTTTCAAGATATCATTTTGAAATTTGGTGTAGTCAATACTTCCTAGAAGATCATCATTTCAAGCATTTTGAAGATTTTCAAAATCTACAGGGTGATACGTTTTTGGAGGTAGAGGCTTTTTATCCCCTCCAAACTTCTTCGTAGTACGCCTCTGTCTCTCTTATGTTAATGTTTAAGATGGAAATCATGAAAAAAATTTATGAATTAAAAAGGAACAGAAATTCGTATTGATAGTTTACCTAACTTCAGGATGATACGGTTTTAAAAATTTTCAAAATAGTAGAATTTTTTTTACGGCAACTTTAGAGAACTGAAAAAAAACTTGACTTTATTCCCTCCGTATCCTCGTTACTGATCCAGATTGGACTCGTGATTTCAATTCTAGTGAGTTCATTTCATTGCATTCTCAACGAATTTTGTCAATGAATAAAATATTTAAGCGAGACATGGGCAGAATTAAAATATGAGCCATTTCATGTAGTCAGGACTCGTCCCATAATATCACTGCGTTCAAAGAATTTTCTATCAGAGAGCCGAAGAGAAAAATTCATTCGGTTGTCAGTGCCACTCAGTTTTGAAAATGGTTGAAGAAGAGTAATATTGAAAAAATATGGAATCACATTACTTGAAAATTTATACTTTGATATTTCGGTAACGAATCTGATCCCATAAAAAATGGAGCAAGTAATTCTTTCAAATTGTCTTGAGGAGTGTCATACTGAGAAGGCATGTTGCTGATGATTTTTATCTATAGAAATGAAGAGAGAGAGATATCAAAAAATCTGGGAAATGATTTTACCTTCCATAGCTTCAATTTATCGCTTCAGCAAATTTTATCATCCTGATTATCGAATGTACAAGATTGCCTTCATGAGGAGTAAGGCGAGGAATACATTTTTCAGAACTCAAACTCCTTTTGGAAATATCAGTGAATCCACTGCTACCGGTGAGCAGTGTATTCCACTGATAATAATCGCATTCGATCATGGAATGTATCTTTGAAAGCTTCCTATTTCCTTGAAATTTGAGAATTCTACCTCCATATGATTGGAAAAATCAGAATACTTTTAATATGTACAGAGATGTGCACACAAACGGCCAGTGCTGTAATTTCTGATTCATTTGGGATCAGATCCTGATCAATTGACAAAATATCAGTTCTGTCACTTCCACCGGAAATTATCCCAGCTGCTGATTTTTTAATGTTTATTATTCCATGATTTGGCAATAGGGATTATCATAACGAGTTCTAAGATAGCGGGTTTGACAGGGTTATTTCAAACGAATACGAAGATAATGGCGTCCTTAGCTTCCATATGCCCAATGAGTGTGACAGAGAAGTACAGATATTGCGAAGTAACACCCATTGAGCATCTATGGAAAAATCTAAATCAAATACGTTCGTGATCATTTGAAATAACCCTATCACACCTGGTATCACTGAATTCGTCATAATAATACCTAAACAATTATGGAATATAACGCAGTGTGTCCAATTTGAAGATACAAAGTTGGGTTCGTTTCTGCTGAAACAGGAAGTGATCGAACTAAAATTGTCTTGTCAATTGATGAGAAATTCAGTATATTCTCAAATTCCAAAATCGAATGATCCAGAAGTTACAGTTCTGTTGTGTCCGTTTTTCGTACACTTCTCTGTATATTTGATAATCATATAAGAAACGTAACCTCATTCTGGAACAGTTGGCAACAAATTCGAAACTTGTTCTTTATTAATTTCAGGAAAACATGTTATTCGTCGTGAAAAGCTTTGCCAGGTTTGAAATCGTCGACCCAAATATTAGATATCAAAGTTTTTCAGTCTTATACGGGGTATGTCAAAAAAATATTAATTTTGGATCCTGTTATTCATTATTCAGAAATAACTGAATTTATATTTCTTCAAATAGAACACAGTATATTTTTTATATTTATAAATTGATATTTTGTGAAATACTGCCTGTAGGTTAATCGAGGAGATGATACATTCATTATTCCAATTTTCTTGGGATTTTCTCTCCTCGTTTCTATAAAATAAAAATATGAATATTATTCTAATATACGTGTAGCAAGAACAAATTAGATTATTTGCCCCAAGATGTCACTGCGTTCAAAGAATTTTCCTATCAGAGAGCCTAGTGAATTTTTTCTTTTAGGCTCTCTGATAGGAAAATTCTTCAAACGCAGAGACATTTTGGGGCAAATCATCTGATTTGTCCTTACACACGTATATCGAAATAATATTCATATCTTCATTTTATAGAGACGAGGAGAGGAAATCCCAAAATAATTGTTATAATGATATTTTGTGCTTTTCGAACACACAATACAACTTATATAAGTACGACATTTTGGGTATTAGCCTTGTATATAGATAATTTTTAGTTTCAGATAATTTCACACTTTCATATTCACCCTGTTGTTGACACATTGTTTCGTCACACACTAAGCGAGTGCAGAATGTTTTATAATTCACTCCAACTGACTACCTGTCAAAGTTTACAAATTGTTTCATACAATGGCGAATGATAACCAACCATCAATATCATCAACCATTACTGATTCTAACGACAGGTAGTCAGTTGACAAAAATTTCAAAACATTCTGCACTCACTTTTTTTCATTGCCACATACTAATTAGAATCACAGCTTTTATAGTCAATGAATTGTGGTGAATATTGGTGTATGTGGTATATCAATATAAAATTTAAACAACCTAGTATGTGAGAAAATACTGTCAGCAACAAGG